CATTCTCTGCATGACTGCATCTCAAGATGGGTTTTTCAAAACCCATTGAAAAATGTAGCTGACTGTGATATTCTTTGGTGTGGAAAGCCAAGATTTGTGTGAAGTTTCTGAAAGAAGGTGGCAAGGGAGAGGGCACTCATGTCCCCCAGCCATCTCATGTTGCCTGTCATCCAGCTGCCAGAACTCTGAAGACTGTGGCTCTTCTTTACCCTCCAACTGAGCACAGGGTTTGTATGAGGCCCCTTGTTGCTGTTTCTCATATCTCTGAATCCCATACCTGCTCTCCTCCTCTTAATCCACTCTAGACCAGCAGGCATCACAGGCCTGGCTCCTCTTCCCTTTGCTCTTTTAAACACCTGATATTTCTAGAATAGTTCAGCTGAAAGCGACCTACAATGATGTGGTGGATTAAGGAGACTCCAAATAGTCTTGAGATGCCTCAGAAGCAGGCTCAAACTCAGCCATAAGTTGTGGTGTAGGCAGGCGTTGGCCTATTCCTTTCTTTAATATGCCGACTGGGGCAATTTTGCTACTTCTGCATGAAGGGCTACTGAAGAAGTTCATGGAGACCAGGGAGTCAACATCTCAGCAGCCTGTGTGCAGAGTGCTGAGTGTTCAAAATCTCCTTCAGGTATGGTAGGGTGTGTCTCTTTTGAGAGGGGAAAACCCTTTCAGAGTTCCCTCAGAGGGAAAAATGACAGGAGAATGGCACTTTGACAACATGAAAAAGCTCCTGAAAGAAAAGTAGTTGAGTTTAGTACAGCTGCTATAAATAGAGATTTGTGTTGAAGGCTGAGTGGGAATGGTACTTTAGTATGATGGTGGCAGCATGGCCTGTTAAACCATGTCTCAGGAGACCTGGATTCCTCTTTTGGTTTTACTACCAGGCTTCAACACTTCATCCTGTCCTGTCACTTCATGGTCCTGTGGTTTGGTTTCCTCGCATGTGAAATGGAGGTACTGGTATTCACTGTCTTTAAACACACAGCAACTGCTAGGTTTAAAAGCCAGTCTAATCTCTAAAAGTCATAACAGAGCAAGACCAGGGTCTTTTTGTGACAGCTGTAGGGCAAGAAAATTTCCCTGACTAAAGCTACAACTTTAACAATGGATTTTCTCTTATCAAAATCATAAACTTACTATGGCAAAAACTGTGGGAGATGCTGTCTCTTACCTAGTCAATATTCATTTTTTTCTCAGTGCCTTACGCTCATTGTCCCTGAAGTCATTTACTGAGAGCAGCTGCCAGCATCAGAATCTCAAATAGCCAATCCTGTGTTTCTTTTAAAATTATGTTTCAAGCTTCCAGTGAACTGAATAATTTTCTACATTTAAAAACAGTTTTAACGAGAGGTTGTGTCACAGATATGTAGATTCATTTCTAAGGGAAATGTGAAAGCTTGTATTCCTCTGCTTAGTCTAATGTTTAAGGAAAAATATAACTAGTAATACATTTTTGTTCTTATATTCATCAAACTGAATAGCATTTTATGTAACAGGAAGAGTCTGTTAAGAAATATCATATAGAATCAACTCCCTTCAGATTGTTTTTAAATCTTCTCCATAATTTATTCCAAATGAGAATGAAAATACATTTAAAAAATCATAAAAGAAGAAATTGACTCAATATATTTATTTAAATCAATGTTAGATTTTGATAGCATCAAAAGATTTCTTGTTCATTTGCATTCATTTATTGTTCCAATTTTATTACATTATATTTAGAAAGAATACTGTTCTGAAATGAAAAATGAAGCTCCAGAATTAACCTAACTGAATTACCTGTTCTTTATTACTTGCAGTTGGTATTATTTCATTCTTTTATGAAATCATGAGTTTGGCTGCTAAAACTAAAGGCCTAACTGTATTATACTTTGTGAAGTTTATAGATTTTTTCCTTTTTTTTACCCAATCAAACATTTGAGACCATACTACTATCAGTAGAGAGTTATCAAATGGGTTGATAGTACGTCATCACAGGACCTCAGAGCATCTGGCCTCACCTTACTGGATGAAGGCAGTTTTGGTGGGTACTTCAGGATTTGGTCAAACTTGTCAGAATTTTCATCACAGCTTTGAATACTGATCATTACCAACAGCTTTTACAGATGACGCAAAGGCCAGGGTACCAGGAAACATGGAGAGGAGAAGTTTATAAAACAATAAGGGTAGTTTGGCAAGCACAGTCATTTAAACAAAATTTGAATGTTTGTAATACATTTAATATCCTGCTAGGCAGTGAAGAAGTAAGACCTGGGCTTTCTAACCAGGCAATAGAATCAACACAAGTTCTCAGTACGATGCTGTGATAAGAAAAGGAGATACTGAAAAGGTAGAGAGAGAGCAGAAGAAAGGGTTGGGAGGAATATTTCCTAGAGACAGTATTAGAGAGAGGCTATAGTTTATAATGAGTAATCTGTTTGGCTTCTGAAGAGTAATTTGGTATTTATCCAGACAGTTCTGCTGGGCTAGCAGCCAGGTAGTCATTTAGTCCAGAGAAAGACGTAACTGGAATCAATAACTGGAAGTAAGACAAATTACAGGGAGCCCTTTTGAACACTCAGAAAGTGAAAACTTACAAGAACTTTCCAGTTTGGCTGCTGGCGAGGCAGAAAGCTTGAGATAGTTTACCTGTCTTCAGCCAGGAGTGTGGCATAGAAGCTCATAGTCCTCAGCAAAGTGTGTGGAGGGAGCACGATGAGGAGACATTGTTGGAGGTGGGCAGGCTGGCTAAGCCTTTCTGGTGAAGGGGATAGAGCAAGGTGTGGCAATTAGACATGGACTCCGATGCTTGTAGCAAGCAAAGACCTTTATTGAATCTCTAACACAGAGAGTTTATATAGAGGTTTAAAGATCAGTAATTTTCCATTAGCTCTGTGCTGCAAGCACCTTTCCTTATTTCATCATATGACAGTTTCAACAGTTCTTGTTAAGCAATGTCGGATTGCAAGCTTGTGAAACAATGTCTAGTTGCACAATATTTGTAGTCTTTAACCACAATCTCTCAGTTCCATCTTCAGCTCAGTGTACTGCTCTTCATTCTGTTAGCCTCCCCCAAGGTTTCTTGCCAACTAGTGCAAGCACATGTGGACCTTCATCTGAGTCTTCTTTTAACAGTTCACCTACATCTCCCCCTTCTTTATTAATAAGATGTTTTTTATAGATTTTTCAACAATACAATTTATACAAGAAATTAAACAGGGTATGGTTATTAAGACACACAAAAATATACCTATGCAAGTTAAGCCAGTTTTTATTATTGCCTTTAACCAATCACTAATTCCCCATTCAGAAAACAACGTATTTAGCCATGCCCAACCATCATTGATTTGCAACTTGTTGACACCATCCTTTAACTTTTGAATTGCCTTATGAATGGATTCAGAGTGATCAGATAGATTCATACAGCACATTCCATCAAAGTCTTCACATCCATGTCCTTGGGCTAATGACAAGAAGTCAATAGCTGTGCGGTTCTGCAAAGTAGCATGCCTTATAGAATTTACATCTAAAAGAAGCCTACTTAAAGCTAGAGATGTGGTGTTACCTTGCTTTGCAAGCCACCAACATCCTAACTTGTTCAAAGTAGCTAATGCTTTTGCTGCAGCTACGCCAGGAGCAAATATAGATGTGGCTATTATTTCACCTGTATTCCAAAATCCCACATTGCCATCACATTTACTTGTAAAAGCATGGGCATTCCGCTTTACACGTGATTGATGATGGTACTGAACTATCACTGAATGATTGGGGGATAGAAGAGTCAGATGGCCTAAAGTACAAGGGCCACCTATTGCTTCTGAAGGCACTCCAGACCAAGCTCGATCACTACAAATCAAAAAAAATTCCATATGGTAGTTTTCAAGGCACTACACCAACATTATTTACAACATATTGCAGATCTCCAGCTATGTTCCTTGCTCCATCATGCTGTGTCTCATTACACCAAACAGATCTATTTGTATATGCAGATAATATAGGATCAAGCTTCTGTTTCGGTTGAGACAGAATCCACTTGGAGGCACAACCTAGAATACACCAGATGATGATGGTCGCACACAGTGTGCAGGTACCCATTGTGGACCTCATTCTGTGGAAGCACAAGCATAACCTCATCCCCAGGTTATCAATGAATAAGGACCTTCCCATTTTCCGGTTTCTAAATTTTTTAATAAAACTTCTGCCTTACACTTTAATTCGCACCTTTTGTCATAGATTGATACAAAATGCCTAAATATTGGCGGTCCACCTTCATCATTCCATTGATTTTAAAAAATTCAAAACATAAGTAGCTTTAGCTAGTTTCTCTTGAGGAGTGAGAGAGCCTACTCCCCCTTTTTGTTTTAATAACATAATTTTCAAGGAACCATGGGCGCGTTCAACAATCACTTGACCTGTGGGTGAATGTGGAATTCCTGTAATATGTTGAATACCCCACTGCTGTAAAAAATTTTGAACTTTTTGTGAGATATACGCAGGGCCATTATCAGTTTTTAATTGTTTAGGAATCCCTAGTGTTGCAAAAGCTAAGAAAAGGTGTTTGCAAACATCCTTGGCCTTTTCTCCTGTGTGGTAGCAGTGGTTAACAAGGCACTGGAAAGAGTATGTACGGATATATGAACATATTTCAATTTTCCAAACTCAGGAATATGAGTTACATCTGATTGCCATATCTCCAAAGCATGTAAACCTCTAGGGTTTACACTATATGATAGAGAGGGAGTTGTGAGTTGACAGTCTGGGCAAGCTGTCACAATTTGGTGAGCTTGGTTCATTGTGAGGTGAAAGGTTTTCCGCAATGCCTTAGCATTCTGATGATAAAATGCATGCGACATATGAACTTGTTCAAAGGTGTTTGGCAAAACAGCCATTCCAGCCAGAGTGTCTGCTTGCCTGTTGCCTTCCACTAGGAGGCCAGGGAGGTTAGTCTGAGATCGAATATGCATGATATAATAAGGATTTTCCCAGTGATTTATAAAAGCCAACGAGGTTTGAAGTAAAGCAAAGAGATGTTCATGATCTATTTCTTTTAAATATGAGGCTTCGATTCTTAACACTATACCAGCTACATAGGCAGAGTCAGTGATTATGTTAATAGGACATTCCCCTTTTTGAAGAACTCTGACTACTGCAGATAATTCTACAGTCTGAAGTGATCCCTTTACAACAGAGATATCAGACTGCCATTGGTTTGCATCATTTTGCCATGCAATAACATCTCGTCATGTTTTACCAGAGCCATCAGTAAATACAGTTGATGCATTTAAAGGAACAGGGCTGCATTCTGGAAGCTCCTGGATGTTAAACTGCAATTGCAATAACTTTTGACTGGGTGGATGGAGTGAAATTGTTCTGGCAAAGCCTTCCAAAGCAGTTTGAAATATTACAGAAGTCTGAAATAACCATTGTAACATTTGCATTGACACAGGTAGTATTATAACTGTTGGCTCCTTGCCACTTAAAGCTAATAATCATTGTCTGCCTTTCATAATTAAAGAAGCAAACATTTCAATTTTGGTAGTTACTGTTTTTCCAAATTGATGTGGCAGGAAAAGCCATTCAATAACCAAAAGAGAATCCTTATTTGTGACATCCCATTGGAACAAAAGCCCATAGGGTTGAAAGTCTGTGTTTAAAATGATTAATTGGAAAAGGCAGTCTGAGTTATAGCATTGAGCTTGTCTTTCAGATCTTGCCGTAGCAACCTTTTGAAGTGCTGTACGCGCTTGGGGAGTTAATATTATTTCTGAATTTAATGCAGAATCTCCTTTTAACAGCTGAAACAAAGGATGGAAATCTTCATTACTAACTCCCAGCAATGGTCTCACCCAATAGTTCCTAACAATTTTTGCAAATCATTTAAAGTATTAATGTTAGGGACAAGCTTCAAAGACTGTGAGGTGATCTGTTGATCAGTTATCTTCCACCCTAAATATTTCCAAGGGGATGTTTGCTGCACTTTTTCTTGAGCTACCTCTAAATTAGATTTTTTGATACTTTCCAAGACTATTGTCATGCCTTGTTTCATTTCTATCTCAGTTTTTGTTGCTACTGATATATCATTCATGTAATGATAAATGCAGGCATTAGGTAGCTTCTCTTGAGCTGGAGTAAGAGCCCTTGCAACAAACCATTGACAAATAGTTGGACTATTTTTCATGCCTTGTGGTAACACAGTCCAGTGATACTGTTTATTTGGTTCAGAGACATTGACAGCAGGCACTGAGAAAGCAAATTTCAGGGCATCATCAGGGTCTAAAGGTATTGTGAAAAAACAGTCCTTTAAATCAATTACTGTGAGTTACCAATCCTTTGGGAATATTGTGGGTGACGGGAGCCCTGGTTGTAATGGGCCCATGTCTACGATTACCGCATTAATGCGTCTTAAATCATGCAGCAAATGCCATTTTCCATTTTTCTTTTGAATCACAAAAACTGGGGAGGTCCACGGGCTAGTAGTAGGAACTATACGGCCTGCGCACAATTGTTCATCGATCAACACCTGTAAATGTTGCAGCTTTTCTAATGTAAGGGGCCACTGATCTACTCAAATGGGAGTTTCAGTTTTCCAGGTCAATTTTAGGGTGTGCTGCTTTTCAGTGACCCTTAGGACAAATTTGACCCAATACTCAAACCCCATTGCGATGAACAATCTCACCCCCAAAGAGTGATAGGAGTAGGAAGTATAAAAGAATGAATGCTTGCCCTTTTTCCTTCCGGGCCTATCACCTGGACAAGAGATACACTCTGTTCTGGGAGGGTATGACCTCCTATGCCTGTGATTGCCACTGAGACTTTAGAAACTGACCATTGAGAAGATCATGACGATTTTGAAATAACTGTCATGTCTGCCCCTGTGTCAATTAGTCCTGACAACTCTATGGTTTGTTTGGGAGTGCCCCATTCCAATTGACAATTTAAAAGGGGTCTCAAAGTAGAGACCTTTTGTGCCCACAATATTTGTGGAGCACTGGTTGAATCAAAACCTCAGGAACCTCGCATTGTGCTTAATGCCCGGGGAGGCTGTGCGTTAAAATACACCAATTGTGCAATGAGAGAGCCAGCCGACAAGAAAGATGGTGGCATAGGAGTCCATATCATAATTTTGATTTCCCCTTCATAATCAGCATCAATTAAACCAGGTAACACAAAACGTCCCCGCATGGTGGTTGATGACCATCCTATTAACAAAGCACTTTTATCATCACCCAATGGTCCCCACACCCCTGAGGCTACAGCCTTGACAGCTGAGGTTTCTAAGGTTACTGATTCTGAGGTGGCCAGATCCACTCCGGCGCTGCCGCTGGTCTATGCGTATAAACTTGAGGCCAGAACTCTGTGCGTGGAGCAGAGGCTGCTTGTGTCATTGAGCGGCCCTTCGTCACGCTTCGATTCCCGTTTCCCTTGAGCGGCTTGCCATCCTTATCAAAGTGAGATCGGCATTGGTTTGCAATGTGCCGACCTTTCCTGCATCTTGGACAAATGTCTGGGCCTGACCTTTTTGAATTGCCATTCTTGGGACAATTTCACTTGGTATGTCCTCGTCTTCCACAAGAGAAACAACCTTGTTGAGAAACCTTGAGTGCTGCAAATGCCGAAGCCATAGTTGCATATTGATGAGAAAGAGTTCCCACTTTATTACATGTGTCAATCATTTGCAATAGAGTGGGGTTATTGAGAGGTCTGAGCACTTTCTGGCAATCTTCATTGCCATTTTCAATTGCTAGTTTTTTCAAAAGAGTGTCACGAGCTTCTTCATTATTGACCTGTTTATCTAAACTGTCCTTCAATTTATCAACAAACTGCATAAAAGGCTCTGTAGGCCTTTGTTTCAGACTGGTAAAAGATCGTTGTGGTTTACCAGCATCAGGAACCTTCAAAAAGGATTGGAAAGCTGCGTCCTAGGAGTAATTTAAAGCAGCGATCGGCAATTGTACTTGTGCGGCTGTTGTTTGCACCTTCCCCCAAGAGAGCATCTACTCCTAGAGTTCTTAATGGATCTCCCACTGAACAATTTAAATAATCTAATGCCTTTCTTTCAAGTACTTGTCTCCAGTGACCAGACCAAATCATAAATTGAGTAGAAGTTAAAAGCAACTGTGCTAATGTCTTACAATCATGTGGACACAACGTATAACTTTTCATCACTGATCCGAGGAGATTAGTGGTATAAGGAGATGAAAGTCCAAATTCAAAAACACCCCTTCTTAATTCTTTAATTACTGTGAAATTCAATCCTTCCCATCTCGGTTGTCAGTTTGCCTCATATATTACAGGACAGGCTAAGTGTAGCCTCTGGAGCATTTCTATATCCCCTGCCTGTTCTGCGTCCTTGCGGACACTTTGCCAAATGTCATGAGGGTCTGGGGGATATAGATCCAGCTCTTTTTTGGGGTCAACTGATCCAGGATTGAAGGGTTCACCCCCTTCTTCATTTTCTGTTTCAGCCACACCATCCAAAGGAGGTGCTGGGGGTTCAGGAGGTGCCGAAGGCAAAGGTTCAGTTGCTTCCCCTGTCCCTATGTGCTTTTTCAGGACTTCAAATAAGGTCCTCCAAGGGGCTAGCAAACTGGCTGCTACAGGGTCAGTCCTGGGGGCTGCATCCCACAGCTTGACTCCAGCAGCATCCCATGTTTCAGGGTCATAAATGTTGATAGCAGTGACTCCAGGAAATTCCTGGGACACCCACTTCAATAGTTTACATAAATCAAAACTATTAAGCTTTGCATTCTGCTTTTTTAGGATTTCTTCCATCATTCTACACACAGTCTTTCCATCTTTGGACATTTCTGATCCCATTGTTCCCCGTTGCTCACCTCTGTCCTGCAGAGACAATTGTAAATGGCACCATTCTCCTGCTTCTTTTCAGCAGCGTAGACTTCAATGGGGCTTGCCACTGGCTCAACAGTCGTAGCTGACGATTATCTCCTGGGTCCCTGCTCGGGCACCATTTGTGGTAATCAGACACGGACTCCGATGCTTGTAGCAAGCAAAGACCTTTATTGAATCTCTAACACAGTTTATATAGAGGTTTAAAGATCAGTAATTTTCCATTAGCTCTGTCCTGCAAGCACCTTTCCTTATTTCATCTTATGACAGTTTCAACAGTTCTTGTTAAGCAATGTCGGGTTGTAAGCTTGTGAAACAATGTCTAGTTGCACAATATTTATAGTCTTTAACCACAATTTCTCATTTCCATCTTCAGCTCAGTGTACTTCTCTTCATTCTGTTAGCCTCCCTCAAAGCTTCTTGTCAACCAGTGCAAGCACATGCGGACCTTCATCTGAGTCTTTTTTTATAATTTCACTCACAGCAAGGGAATAATGAAGACCTTTCTTTTTTTTAATTATTTTTTATTTTTTCCAATAGAGGTGTTTCAATTTGCTGGAAGGTTGTTATGTCAGATAATTCTTAACTTGGTGACTTTGAATGGCCCAGAATGTGCTAAGAGCCAGGGAGAATAATCTTCCTGGCTTGCCTACTCTCCCTGTCTAGTCAAAATGTGATTAGTTTGTCTCTTAAGTTAAATTTTCTGAACAGATGGTTACCCAGGGAGAGTTTTTATTTCAGTGACATGTTGCTTTCTAAAGGAAAAGGATCCAGAAAAACTTTGATAAACTTTATTTCTTGAGAGTTTAATTCATGTCACTGTTTTGGCCCTCCCATCTGTAAGTATTAGCTTATTCTTGCGAAGTCTGAACCCTGTACTCTTCTCCTCAAGGAAGATTTTGTGCTTTCCTTATTGTTAGTCTCCTCTGTGGAGTTTGAGGAGCATGAGGAAATGGCAGGATTAATGTCATTGTGTCTACGGACAGCCATGAGTGTACAAACTGAATTAGCTGTGTGAAAGAGCTGTGTACAGATAGAATGAGGGCATGGAAAGAGGAGCGTCTGACCATGCTGGCATTCTGCAAAATGTAAAAAGAATATAAATAAAGAATATGTAAAGGTGCACAGCATTTCCATGGTCCTATTGGGAAGTTTGCATGCTAGCTTGTGTATCATCTTTGAAATGTTGTGCCTGAAGCCAGAGGGTTCAGCTTTCATTAGATTCACCTTCTAATCCCTAGGGAAGTGAAAATTAATTCTAGGGAGTTTGCTATTTTCGGTTTTGAGTCTTTATTTGAAATGAAACCTCTGTCTTCTCTGCATGAATATGAAAGCCTAATGTGATTTTATTCAGTGCACAAGTTCCCACTAGTACATGGCAAGAACGTGTGCAGAACCTTTCTGTTTTCTCTGCTCCTCACTCCAATCCTCCTATGCAATACACGATGCTCTGCCTGGCTGCCCTGCTCCAAAATCAGTGCCATTCAGCAATGCATTATGAGTGAATATCTAGGGTTCCCAAGCTTAGCTGCCCTGCACCTGGAAGACAGAGGTTTTTATATTTTCTGACTAGCTAAATCCTCTTCCCATGACATTAGAGGTAACATAGTCACTGTGGCTAGCAACGGGTAACTGGGAAAAGCCTCCTTGAGTAGTGATTGAATGGGAACCTGGATGTTAAGATTAGTTTGGACAAGCAATTCTATGTTCATTTAGTGTTCCCAGTCAGAAAAGATTTTTTGCCACACTGCTGGCTGATGGACAGCATCAGGACTTACTGTTAGGCATTCCTTTCAGATGACTGGCTTGTTCAAGAGGACAAGAGTAGAACAATATTTTCACCATGGAAGCTATCAGCTATACTTTTCTTTTTTTTCAGTTAACCACATCTTAAAAGTCTCCTGCATTTCACTTGTATCATCTCCTTTGGAAAAGTGTGTGTTCAATTGATCTGTGCTGTGGGCTACTCTGAGGCAAGTGATGAAAGCAAATGAATGGGCAGAGCCCAGACAAAGCCTCCCGACTCCCTTCTATGAGAGACTGATGACTTTTCCCTGAGCTGGCTCCCTACTGATACCTGCATCTGTTGCGCTACCCCATGATCCTCTGCTTGTTATAGAGTGAGGTCCCTTGTCTCTCATTCAACTTTATTACAGGAGTGCTGGCCAGAGATTAAGGTCTCCACACATCCAAGTGTGTAATGGTCCTATAAAACACTCCTAGCAGTGGCAAAATTAATTTCTGTGGCAAAATGGACAGTGGATGCCTTGTTCTGAGAACAAGAGCGATACCCACGCCCCAGAATCCCAGTGTGAGGGATTTTTTAATTCTTTCCTTATTTCTCTCCTGCAGAAACATCTAGGGGGAGCAAATGTTCAATAATATTGAACAGGCTGCCCAGGGAGGCAGTTGAGTCAACATCCCTGGAGGTGTTTAAAAGACAAGTAGATGTTATGCTTAGGAACATGGTCTAGTGGCAGACTTAGGGCTGGATCAATGGTTGGACTTGATGATCTTAAAGGTCTTTTCCAACCGCAACCATTCTATGATTCTATGGTTCTAACATTTGGCTGCTTGTATAGCTACCTAAGGAGATCAGAGCCCCCCCAAAAAATAAGGAAAGTAAGCCGCTGAAAAATCTACTGGAGATGCTATCCCTGTCCCCTTGAGAAATGACATTTGCACTTTTTGCCATGCAATCTCTGTGCCATGGCATAGAAAATGCACTTTCTTCTCCCACAGAAACATAGAAAACATTTTGCTCTGCTCAGGGGACTCATGTCCTTCATGAAAAAACAAAAATCTTTTCAAGAGAAAAGAACAACAGGAAAGGTGGATGTTACCAGAAACAGAAACTCAGCACTCACTAGGGGAATGTACCTGTGGCAAGTAAGAATCACAAAATCACAGAATATTAGGAGT